GCTGATTCATGGTCATGTAAATTTAGATCTGGTTAAAGTAATTCTTGTTCCGATAGTTAAGAGTAAATCAGGAGATATTACTAGTAAGAATAATTACAGGCCTATTGCTCTAGCATCTGTAATATCTAAGGTGTTTGAATCGATTTTAATAAGTCTCTGTGGTAACACACTAGAATCTAGTGATTATCAATTTGCTTTTAAAGCTAAGCATTCTACTGACACATGTATATTTGTCCTAAAACATATCATAGACTACTATTAATAGGAACGGGAGCCCTGTATTTGCTTGTTTCCTCGACACCGGCAAAGCTTTTGATCGGGTGAATCACTGGTCTCTTTATAAAGAGCTTATTGAGAATGGTACTATTCGTTGTGTTGTTGTGCTAATTAAATCGTGGTATGAAAACCAAAGGTTTGTGATACGTTGGGGTAATTCTATCTCTACCTCGTTTAAAGTTTCTAATGGTGTTAGACAGGGCGGGGTTATGTCTCCTCTCCTATACAACATTTATATTGGTAACCTTAATTCCAAGTTAAGCACATTTAATCAGGGTTGTCAATGTGCAAATATTAGATTAAGTCATCTTAGTTACACCGACGATCTTGTTTTGCTTGCTCCTTCGGTTGCTGGACTCCAGCAATTGGTAGCCTACATGTCTGTGAACATTTTGCTAGTGAGCATGATGTTTTATTTAATGACAAGAAATCGTTCTGTATGCGATTTTGTCTTTGTACGTGTAAATTGGAAGGTAAATCCGTAACGAAACTTTTTGGTGAAGAACTTTTATATGTTGAGAAAGGCTCTTATCTTGGTCACATTCTTACATGTGATAGTTGTGATGAGGCTGATATTCAAAGACAGTATAGGTCTCTGTGTATTAGAAGCAACTCTCTTAATCGTAAATTTATAAAATGCTCTAAAGATGTTAAATGCTGTCTCTTTCGATCATACTGTATCAATTTGTATTGTGCTGCTTTATGGTGTGATTACCGTCAAAAAAACATTAGATCTCTTAATGTATGCTACAACAATGCATTGCGTCGAATTTTGAATGTTCCTAGAAACAGCAGTGCTAGCATAATGTTTGTCGACCACGGCGTCCCATCTTTTAATGAATACATGCGAAAATCAGTTTACAGCTTTATGCAGCGTATGCTGAGTAGTAGCAATGTTCTCGTTGCATGTATTTAGAAACATATGTTTTTAAACTCTAAAATGTATAACAGATGGAGTGGTATTTTGTATGCATAAGTATAATATATGCAATACTCATTTTTTCATATAGTGTATATGTATTTTTTTTTCTATTGCGATAGAAAATACAGTTTAGTCGTTAAGGATTTTTGTTTGTTGTTATTATTATATGCTTAAACCGATTATAGATATGGATATGCAATTTCCGAAATAAAGAATGAAATGAAATGAAAATATATATACATATATATATATATACATACAAATATATATAGGCCTATAAGACCTTATAAAATTCTATATATATAAATATCTGTTTCGTGCAGTATAAGATGATGTATTTTTCAACTGACATCATAGTAAATATACGTTACCTATGTTGATTGAAGCGGCGAAATCTCATTAATTTTACGTTATTTGAAGCGAACAATGGAGAAGTCATGTGACTTTGATAATGCAAATACAACTGATCACTGGTCAATACGTTTATGACAACTACCACGTTTTACAATCCTGTCTATCATCAACCTTACTTATTAATCTTTGATTAGTAGGCCAGTAGGCTATATGAAAGGAACAGTTGCTTATTCAAATATCAAAGCATATATAAGGACTATTAGCTAACGCGAGTCAATATAAATGCGACATGCCATGTACCCTATCTAATTACAGAAGCAGTGATTAATAATAAAACAATAATTAGCCAATTTATTGATTTGTATACGAGCAAGCAACCGTCAAGATCCAATAATACCTTACTTACATTAGATACAGTGGCGGATTTAGGATTTATTGAAGAAGGAGGCCACGACAGTGGCCATCGAGGAACAAAGCACCGAGCGGGGAGTGGGCTTGAGAGGGGATGTCTAACTCCCTAAAATAAGAATTCCCTTTTTGGCGATAATAAATGCTTAGACGCTCTTATAGAGCATTCTGGCTTAATATATGCGCGTATTGCATTACATACACCTATGCCCACAACATACAACGAACGTTCATACAATTCTCCAACTCTACTCTCACTCCGAAATTTATCTTTTACTGAAACACTGTTATGGCCTTTCGTTTAGAAAAAAAGTAGTGCTGTGATTTGCCAGAGGAAATAGGCATTAAATACAATACACATCCATTTCTAAAGCACACATTGACTTCACAATTTAAGTTGAATTTCTGCATTAGACCTATATAGGGGTTTAATATAAATGTCTCAAAAAAAAAAAGGAAATATCCACCTTGACATAAAATGATATCAGCATTTTTTGTTTTATTATACTGACTATTTATTGCCTAAACTATAAATTAAATGCACATTAAAACTGGAGTTAAACAAATCTATATTTAAATGCAACACCAATAGTTTCTACATAGGGAATTACACCTAAACATCTTGTTTTACGCCTTTTTGTATTTGGGCACGCCATAGTATCAAAGTATTAAATCTTTACAAAACGATTTTTTAAAAAGAGAATATAAGGATATTCTTACCTGTAATGTGTCAGTCAGCAACCTTTTATTTACATATACAATATTATGAAAACTAAAAATTGAATGTATGCTGATCATATAAAATGGGACTATAAAATCAAATTTTAAAAGTGTAATTATTAACTTTCGCATTTGATCTGAATACATATAATTAATGATGTACCAATAGTATGATAATGATTTATTTATTTATTTATTAACCTTTTAATTACATCTACAATATTATGAAAATTAAACATTGAATGTATGCTGATGATATAAAACGGGACTATAAAATCAAATTTTTAAAGTGTAATGATTAACTTTAGCATTTGATCTGAATACATATTATAATTAATGATGTACCAATAGTATAATAATGATGTATTTTATTTATTTATTTTATGTTATTTTCAATCTTTTTCGACGGGGAAGGTAATGCATGAGGGCCCGTAGGATGGCACTTACAGTAGGGGGTGAAGGCCGGAGAGGCAAGAGGTCAGGTTGCAAAATTAGTGTGACAAAAAGCCGGGAGCAACAATCAATGGGCCAAGCTAGATCTCGTTTCAAAGTACCAATCGTCAATCGTTTAACACAACATTAACCTTCTATGAAACCAGAAGACATTTTCATCCCCCTCCCAAATGTGGTTTCTAATATTGGGAGGGTACCAATTAGTACTATAAGCATAAGCCGAGTCTGAGGGAGAACGAAATGCTACCCTTCAACGGCGGCGGAACGTTTTTGAAAGTGGGGGGTGGCATTTCATAAGGTCCAGTATGCGACCGAAGCGAGCATCTAGGCTGAGAGCCAGAGGCCGCCAAGGGCCCCGGTGGGGGTCCAGGTGTTGAAGCCCTCTGGAAGTCTACGAATATTTGGTGAATTTTATAAGTTATTTTATAGGCATCAGGCTACTGTAATATAACTTCATATTTGTTGTAATTTTCTAGTCAGGGGCGGATCCAGAGATGTCCAAAAGTGGGGGGGGGGGGGGGGGAGAGGGGGGGGGGGGGGGGGCTCGGGGGGGGGGGGGGTTAATAGGGTGGTTAACCCCATCCTCCCCCTTGGTGACCTCGACGAAAAAAACATTTGAGGCGTTGTGGGCTATCATTTTTTTCTTTTTCCTTCTTTTTTTCTTTTCTTTTTTTTACCTCCCAAAAGGGCGGGGGGCCCGTGGCCGGGCTGCCCCCTCTAAATCCGCCCCTGCCAGTGGCGGATCCAGGAATTCGAAATAGAAGGGCCCAGAGGGTACTTTCACAGATAGAAGATCTATACTACATCAGCCCCATCATGGTTGGGGCTGAGGTAAGAAAGATGGTAATTATGGCGCCTCTAGATGGCCGGAAATTGCACTTCCAGACATAAAGTTTGAATATAATTATCTTTATATCTCCATTAAAAAAAAAAGAAATGAACAATTTAGCCCCCCTTGAATGCGCCACAAATTTCCGAACAAAGTCGAAGTCGAGATTGCTTCCACGATCTCAATTAATTATCATGAGGGTTATCCTTAATTTGGGTATTCCCCGACGAAAGCTTCACTTTTCCCCCGATGAATAAAAATTACCCTTCTATAGTAGCCCAGGAATGCTACTCCAACTGTGGCGGGTCCAGGAAGTCGAACTAGAGGGGACTCCGGGAGGGTCTTGCGCAAATAGAATGTCCACCCATCTTAGAACCACAAAAAATGATTATGGCACCTTTAGATGGCCGGAAATGGCACTCTCAGATTAAAAGTTGAATACAATTTTGTCTGTTTTCTTCATTTTTTTTATAATTAAAAAAAATTAGGAGGTTGGGGCCCGCACTGGCTGGGTTCCACTTTGAATCAGCCACTGTTCAATATAACACTTAGCCTATTATTATCATCATATAACATAGAATATCATTTTGTTTCACAAATGATTAATTCCTAATGTCATGCAATTATTATTATTATTATTATTAGACTTTTTAATAATAGTAATAATAATAATAATAATAATAATAATAATAATAATAATAATAATAATAATAATAATAATAATAATAATAATAATAATAATAAAGACGTTGCAGCGTTCGCAAAATGTTTGTCACTGGTGCTGGGAACAGCCACAAAAGTGGGTGGACCAGGCCCCCTCCCCAGTAGAAAAAGTGGGTGCGCCAATGCCCCCCACCCAGCTTCCGCCGCCGTTGCTACTCCTACAGTCGGATAATATACAGCCTTTTGAAGTATAAGGATTATAAATTCCTGTTGAAAAAAACCACAGTGGTAACATAATTGTTCTAAACTTCAGAATAATGTAAGCATATATAATAAAAACATTAATGTTTCTGACTCAAAGTATAATGCCAAATCAAACATACCATATAGAGGGCCAGCATTGGTCGTGTTCTGAATTGGAGGGTGCGTTCCATCATTGAAAGTATAACAATTACCGTACAAGTAATTGTATGTATAGGTGAGATTACTGAGAACAAAAATCAAGCAGAAATTTGAGTTTGAGCTAACTAGCATTATATATACATATTCTGCAACATAAATCTATAATAAATTAGTAAATAGAGGAACAGCTTAAATTTTTAAAAGTGTATACCTTAATATTTCTGGTGCTCCATAAATTAAAAAAATACTTTCATTCATTATTTTTTTGCAAATTAATAGAAATGTATAATTCCTCATAGTTTATAGCAAATAGTATAAAGTGTTTATAAATCATTGCAAATTGTATCGTATGAAGTTCTTTGGCACATATAAAAATAATGTTACTTCATCAACACAAACAGATAAAATTTATGATAATCTATTCTTTAAAATAATTAATATATTTATTAATGTCTTTATTTGAGAGTCACTTACTCTCAATGTTTATTCCGTTATTCGTCCGAATAATATATTTAAGAGGCAAGAGCAACAACGCTAAAACGGATAAACCTAGTACCTGTTTTCTGACTGAAAGTGATTGATTCTAGGCGTGATTTTCTCTGCCTTTATCCATCGCGGTTGAGTATTCTCATTGGATGCTAATTTCCTCACAATGGGTATAATAATATCTCTCATCCTCTCTGTTTTCTCAGCCATACCCCTTTCACAAAAACAGGCAAATTACCCTTTGGCTGTCAGTGGTGGATTCAAGAGGAAAAAAAATTGTACTCACATTTTGAGTGCCATTTAGACCATCTAGAGGTGCCATAATAAACTGTCTTACCTCAGCCCCAAATATGGTGGGGCTGAGGTAGTTAGACCCTCCATCTGTGAAAGTCCGTCTTTGGGCCCCCTCTATTTCGAATTCTTGGATCCGCCACTGGCTATGTCGGTTCTTACCTAGGCAGGCATGGGTATCCATTGAAAGAGCACGACAATAATGCATCAGAAATATTGTGACCAGTGATCACCCTGTCATCATACGGTATGGCTGCCACGAATTCTGTCACTTTGTCGATCAAGTAAAGAAAATCTTCTCGAATGTCAAGATTTGCATCTTCCCACAGCTGGAACTGGTTACTCTAAAATAAGTTAACTAGATGTTACTGTTTAAAAAGTCTTAATGTTTTAGACAACCTGTTTTCACCAGCGGCGAAACATGATTCCTCAAGATCCCCGAAAAGGGGTCCAAATTCACCCTAACGAGATGTCCAAGATCCCGGACAGGAGTCGAGGGTCCACACACACACCTCCTTCCAACAATGGTTGGAGTGAATTTTAAGAATGCATCTTTAGATACACATTCAAACTGTAAAATGCTTTGCACAATAGTGTTCTCCGACGTTTCAGGTTTCCCTGACGATCGGTACCCCAACCACATGGCGCCTATTCCATTGGAGTAGTAACACTCTATAGTATGACTACTGCATGTTTTCAGTTCCTCTAAGCTTTACAAAGTTAAAAACACAACTGCACTGGGTGGAAACTCTGAAGAGTGAGTTTTGGGAAAAACATGTTCTTGATGATAATCTGGCAGTTTGGTATTCAAAATGTCACGTTATGTTACAGTATTGAGTTGACCCATTTATAAAAGCGTATATTTAAGTGAAGATATTGTTAATGTTACTTCCAAGTTTAAAAGTATCATAAGTTCAAGTATCGCAGAATGTCTAATGTATTAACAATGTTAGACGTAATTTTAAGAAACCGGATGGTTTGTCTTTATAGTGACCTATTAATTCACATACCGTTCCCTCAACTTGTAAATCTTTTAACATTATCCCAATCCCAAAGAAGAACAAACTTGCCACTCTTAATGACTATAGACCTATCGCACTTACGCCTATACCTATGAAATGTATTGGATGTGATGGATGAAAGTAATCCATTGTTAGAACCTATGCAAATTGCATACCGTCTTAAAAGGGGTGTTGATGCGTTGCTTACCTTGCTTCACAAAGTGTATTCTCATCTTGATAAACCTTCTGCCTATGTTCGCACTATGTTTTTCGATTTGTCCCCCGCCTTAACACTATTCTGCCCAATATTCTTCTTACTAAAATGCATGTTCCCCAAATTGTCACTTTGGATTGGATACTTTCTTACTAACAAACCTCGTGTTAAGATACACAATTCAACAACTAATTCACTGACTACTAACACCGGTGCTCCACAAGGCTGTATATTATCCCCTTTACTCTTCACTCTACAATGGATCACTTCCAAAATATTTTGAGCGATATCCGTTCACACCTATTTACGCTCTCGTCGGGAAGCCACACCCTCATCCGTCGGGGATATCTTACCCCTGCCCCACCGCCGTCGGAAAATCATGAAGTAATGAAAATTTTGCAGCTCTCCTGATGAACTCCAGTCCATCCCTGACTTGCACTGATGGCTGAATTGAAACTAAATATCAGCGTAGGGCAACTATACTTACTTGTGTGCCTTCTGCATTCTGAAATTCCTCGACCAATTCGTCTTGTTTTTCCATATAAGAACGTCGCATGTTATTCAAGTTGCAAATAGTGACGGCCGGAAAACTGAGAACAGTTACGCTTTTGATGTCCACATTGGTAGTAACTTGCCGATCAAGGAAGGCGTAGATGAGTGATTTAACCTGCCATACGCACATAGAAAATGATGCTAGAAAGGCGCACACCCACAGCAGACGTCTGATCGGGCTCTGGGTGCGCTTTATGTTTGGAATTCCATGTGCTGAGATGTTCTCCATATACGATCCCACGACCAGCGCCACATTCGCACCATTTTCATTGTCTACCCTCGCACTTGTTATTTCCTGGACCATGGCGTCCCGTATCCCAACACGATATAACAGTGGTCCACGTCTATATCAAGAAATATTTAGGCCTACATTAGACGTATATATTATATTTAAAGGGCATCAACGTTTAAAAGGCTTGCCTTTGCAACGTCCCTGTTAATGCAATAACCTTTGTAAATTTTAAAAAGAAAGTTAAAGGTCTTATTCTCTAAGATAAAGTAATAAAAAATAGATAAGCCGTACTAGTCTAATATATAATAGAAAATAAAACTCAGGATATTCAGTACTTTTATGACTAGTTTATTTATGACAGTACACAAGCTTTCGTGCACACAGTGCACTTCTTCAGGTGAATGTGAAGTTAACATAAACTTGGTGTATAGACCTATTTAATTTTAAATAGTTTTGCATTATGTGGCCGTTTGCTGTTTTATGGGTTTTTCCCATTTGCCTTTTAAAATTTATATATATATATATATATATATATATATATATATATTAATTTATTTATTGCAATTTCTTTCTTTTAATATAAGAACTTAATTTTCTTTTCCATTTTAATATTTCTCAGTATTTTTTACATTTTTTATAAGGATCATTTTTGTAATAAATTCACGGACTAGTGCTGTCTCGTAAGAATTTTGTAGGACGCGTTAAGAGTGACAAAATATTCTCTGTATCTACTGGAACCGAGCCACATAGCTCGTATTCCACTATTTGCATTCTCACCTGGGCTGTGTATATATTATATTGCCTTGGTTTGGCTCTGTAATCATTAGTGGTCGTGGGACTAGTTTGGGCCCTACCTAAGCTGGTCGAACGTTTCGTTTGGGTCTATACCCTAGCTGCACTGATGAAGCCTGGAAGGCCGAAATATATTTCAACAATTATTTTAGTTTTTTTAAACATATTTTATCTCCTACAGATATGAAGAAAAGAGTTGACTGAAAGACACAAGAAACTAATGTCTTAAACAACATTCAACCACAATGAAAAATATATTTTATATTATATAATGTATCACCATCTAGTGTGAACTGTGAACCCATCTGCAAGAAGCGGAGATGCTTTTTAGATTTATTTTAACGTAATCAAAGTATCAGAAACGTGTCTGTAATATTAACTTATGAAGACAATATCTTTAACAGTAATTCAAATACGCAATTGACTGATAAATTAGATAGGCCTATGGTATATGTATTAATAAATTTATTCTGTATGCTGGCAAAGAATGGTACAGAGACAACAAGGCTGGAGGTAAGTGGGTTGGTTATTTAAGATCTTATAACAAAATAGCACTCTCACCTATTTGTAAGCGTAATGCATTAGAGACTCGTAAAACTGCATCTTCTGCAAAAAATAATACAAAGCAAAACTTATTTAGTGTACTGAATTTTATATATGAATTATCGGATCCGTTTAGGCCTTACAAGCCTGATCAGTGCAGCTAGGGTACAGACCCTGACGAAACGCTCAGGCCAGCCCCACTTAGACCACAAAGCCAAACCAAGGCAACATATACATACAGCCCAGGTGTGATTGCAAATAAGTTGAATTTGCCAAAGTCGAGTCCAAAATGACATTGGAAAAATTGTTCGATTTGGATAAAAATTTACTTGCAGATTGTTAAACAATGGAAAACACAACAATTTGGCATGTACAATAAGATCAACTTAGAAATTACTGTACAGTATTTGAGATCTGAAGAGACAATCTCTACTCTGCATCAATGGCGGGCCTGCTAGATCTTAAAAGAGATTCTTCATTAATAAATATTTTAATAGGCAAATGGAATAAACCCAAAAAAAAACCACAAATGGCCACATAATGCAAAACAATTTAAACGTGTGTATATATATATATATATATATAATATATATATATATATAAAATTTATTTCAACTCCAAATAAAAGTACAAATAAACTTAAACGATTAAATAATCGTTCTTCCACAAGATTGAGATAAAATTTATATGAAACATTCAAAATATCAATATAATAAGTTAAAGAAATTAAATTACAAAACATTTAAAATTTCACTACATTATTTTGAAAATTGTTTACTAATATATTATTATTTATTATTATTATTATTATTATTATTAAATTTGTCAATATATATATGTATATATATATATATATATATATATTGTTTTTAATCATTTGTATATAATGTTACTATGGAAAGTGAGATATGGAATTTTTTTAATTTCATTTTTTTTTTCAAAATTGTGTGCATTTCAATGTTGCACCTCAAAATGAAATCCTACGTTGTTTATTAAATTTGTGTTTGGTTTACGAATAAATAAATTGGATGCACTATGCCGGAAATTTTAATTAAAAGTATTTGTTTTGAAAAGGCCTAAATAATGTTGTAAATAAGTGGGCGCCCGTTTCAACCCGATCTTGTAAATCATTATTCAACATTCATATTCATCCCGCTGAGATATAAGCCTAGAGAGCCAATTTGCTTCTTTAAGGGCTATGTTGCTTAGTGTGTCCCATTTAGGTTACACACCAATCTCGCAGTTCTATTTTGAACAGTTTGTATTCTTTTCAAAACCGAAGAACTGCAGTTCCCCAAATAACATTACAGTAGGTTATAAGTAAGGTAATACATTGAAATTAGCAATAGCTTTTAGGATACCATTTGGCAGTACATATTTACATCTTTAACATTGATAAACTATTTAGAGCCTCTTGCGTTGTCATGTGTTTACTCCATGATCGGGTTTCGTCAATGGTTATTTGACAAAGTGTTTGCAACTTTTCACACGAGTTAAAGGACTGTTACCTATCTGAATGGTTGATGTCCTTTGGCTTGAACCGACTAGCATAAATTGTGAATTTTTGAAACATTTAAACTCAATTTGTTGCTCTTGAACCATTCGTATAATATGTCAATAATGTCATGTTCGTTATTAGAATCATAATAAATAATAGTGTCATCGGCATACATGCTTACTTCACATTTTGTAAACCATTTGGTAGGCCATAAATTGAAAAAGCTAATGGACCAATAATTGATCCTTGTGGCAGTCCACATATAATTTGAATAGTATCAGATTTAATATTATTTGCGATGGTCAATCGAGTCCTTTCAGATAGGTAGCTTTCAAACCATTTTATTGAATAATCACTAATGCCATAATGTTGAAGCTTACATATTATATTTTCTGATCAACAGTACCAAACGCCTTTTAGAAATCAAGTAGCAATAAACCAACCATTTTTCCATTATCCACAGCACTACACAATTTTTCTGTTATGTTTAATGTGGCCATAGATGTGGAAAAACATGGCCGAAAACCCGACTGGTTTTCGAACATTAGGTTATGAGAAACTAAATTGAGTATAATTGATCGAAAACCGCTCTTTCAATAATTTTGGAGATAATGAATAATACCGAAATTGGTCTATAATTAGCCATTTTTGAATAGCGGCGTTACTTTCGCGCTTTTCCAGATTTTCGGAAATTTGCATGTTGTAAAATAATTATTTATTAAATAAGAAATGACTTGAGAAATAATAGTTGCTGCAATTTTTAACAATTTTGCTGGGATGCCATTAGTCCCAGTTGCCTTATTAATTTGGATTGATTGTACATACTTTAACACATCATCATTGGAAATTTGTTGAAAATCAAAGGTTTCATTAGCAAAATTTTCTATTTTTTCATATTTGAATTTATCGCTAGTTGGCATATCAATTTTTTTAGCTAAATTTGGACCAATTTCAGCGAAGTTATTGTTAAGGAATTTGCAATGTCTTTACTATTTGCAAATACTTATCCTCAATTTCAATTCGCTGAATATATGTCAAACTGTTTTTTTTTTTTTTATTTTTTTTTTTTTTTTATGAGATAGCATGCTTCATATTTCTCCATGTTTTCTTTACGTCATGTTTGTTTTCATTTATATCATTTCGGATGTATTCAACCTTATTTTCACGTATTTGTTTGCTACAATCATTTCTACATTTATTATATGAATTCCATAGTAATTTATCTTCAGAAAAATTGCATTTATTTTCTTAGGTTTATCTCTTTTACGCACTGTCTGTGAGCCAGGGTGAAGCACTTTTACGGATTCTCCATTTCTTTATTGGAACGCGTTTATCAATAATTTTAATTAGAGTATAAATTTTTTTGGGAAGCAATACTCAACAATTAACATTTCAATAGCAAACGCAAGCTTCTTGGTAACATAAATTGTTACACCAAATTCACCTTCTCCCAATGAATGAATAATATCAACATTTGATTATCTTCAGACCAAGCTATACATATTCGACAATTTCCTTTATGTCTTTAAGTTTAACAATTGAAAAATATATATTAGCCTAATAAAAGGTCAATTTTGAATTTACCATCGCGTTTAGCTTGTATTTTAGCTGTGATTGGCTAATGGGAATTATCATTATAGTCTAACATTATTATTGAATTATGAATAGTGTAAAATCCCAGGTAAGTTATCCTCTCTCCATTTTCTTAGTTTATGTACTTCTTTATTTTTGATCTCATGTTCTGGTTCTGGTTGGTTACTATCTAACAACCTTAACATAGGGGTTCACACGGATAGGGTTGATGATGGCGCCTTTTGAGTGGTACAGTGTATGGAGTACATGCAATTTTAGTTTTATCGCGGAGTGGTTGGAACATTGGTAGCAAAACGACATGAGCTAATAAGTCGTTATGATTATTATTACTATTATTACTGTTTATTAACATCTTTAATAAATTCAATTATTAATGCTAATTTAATCATTATTCGTTAAAACATTAGGTATTCTTTTAATCTCTTTCATTATTGATGCTCTTCTTATCATTATTATTAGTATTATCCTTATGTTTTTTTATTGGGTTCACTAGTGGAGTTAATAAATCAAATAATAAATAAACAGATAAAAATTAATAAATAAATAACGGCAAAACAGACTTAGTCATCCTCAATGGAATTAAAATACTTTTTTTAATGGCAGTCTTAAAAATGTGTTTGTCATGGATGGTAATACGGCAAACAGTTCC